GAAGAACGCTCAATAGGGGAAAGGCAGATATTATCGTCCTTAGCAAGGTCAAAAGTCACCAAGTCTTCGTCTATCGTTCATACTGACCCAAAACAGGTTACTGTCAATCTTGTGAATTGGGTCAAAGTTTTCTATTAGCATCTCAGTATTTATTTGTTTACTCTGCTGATGGCTCCACGTCTGTTATCGCTATGGTCTGGTGAGGTGATTACCTGGCTGGTGCAAATATAACCACGATTTTTAAAGAAAAATAGTTCTTGCAGTAATTATTTTGCAAGGGAGTCATACTAAATGACAGAAGGAAAGGCCATAAAAAGCGCATCTTGGTTTTGTCTGTTGATTATCTATTTAAAGATCGCTGTTGGAAATCTTTGCCTCAATACAAAATATTACGCAGAAGACTCTGAGAAGAAAGTGCTGTCTTGTGAGCGAAGCGCGTTAAGCGCATTACCGCTGCGTGCGGTTGCAACACGGCAGGGCTAGATTGAGCACCCAAATTGATACTGTAGCTTTGACAGATTCCGGTGGATAAAATACTGTGTTTCTACACAAACTAGTGCCTTTTCTAGTCAGCAAGTTGTTGAAGCATATCACGCTATTTTTAAGCACCCTCAATTCAATTTGATTGGACCTACGAAGCTGTTGGGCGCACAAGGTGCCTCAAGGAAGAGGAGGGGGGGGGAGGGTCTGTAAGAACGTTCCTGGGACGAAACCTAAGGACGAACTCCGGAGATTATGAAAATTCCTGACGAACCGCGGCCTCTCAATTCTCCTCTGTTACTTAGTCCTAAAGCTGGGGTTTCGTAACCCTGACGCAATGTTATGGGTTAATCCCCCGTTATGAGTTATTGCTACTCTAATTTCGTAAAATAACTCACAGGCCTTAAAAACGGTTAGATTGGTGTTGACCACTTGAGCTGATGCCGGTTGGAGCAATTCTTTCCACAATAACTACGACCAATTTAAAAGGAAGAGGAAGAATAAGAGAAGCCATCAAAGGCAAATATAGGATTAGGAAATCAGGGATAGCGGTGGTTTTCGTTGTATTAGCCATTTTGCTGATATTAGCCAGATGTATGGCCTGTTGACAGAGTGCACTACTCATCCAGCCGCTGGGCACGTGCCATTATCAACGCACACAAGGCGTTTGGTGCGCTTGTTAGCCCGCGGCGGACCAGCCGGTGTCTGGTCGCTGGTCAATGAGTTCTGAATCGTCAACTCGTAAACTATGTGACATTGGAAACGCTGATTTCTAAGCGATCTACGATTTCAAAGCATCCCCTATCCTTCCCCTTCTTCGCAAGCGCTCTTGGGGTGGCACATTGTTTGAGACGTTCAGGTTCCGGTTTCCTTTTGTGCACAGAAAGGCGTTCTCACCATTCAACCGTGGCGTGAAACCAGTCGGTCACAGCCATTCACCCACATTCAAATTGAAAGGGAAACGCAAAAAAAGGAACAGAACCAACCTCTCATCGATCACATCGATTTTCCAAACACCATTTCCGCAACCGTGTTGCATCGGGCGGAAGACTTGCTCGACATCGCCGTCGGTGAACTCCAACGTGCCATGCTCACCGCATGGGGTTTCCACACGCACAAAAATGTGCTGCTGATATTTCACATCAAAGTTCAATTCGATCTGAAAATGGGAATTTAAATAATATCAGCAGTAGAGCTTGACAAAATTCAGTGTAGGAATTTTTGCCGGCGCTCATGGCGAGGCGAGAGAAGGGGTCTTAAAAACAGCGAAGAGGTAACCCTAGGACTAAGGCAAGGAGAGGAAAGAAATTCTAGGGAGAACAAACTCTTCTCTCTTCCTGTTTCAGCCCCCTTTCCTACCCCCTCGTAGGGCTACCAAGATGGGAATTGGCTCACTCGCTTGATGCCTCCCCCCCTCTCCACGTCATTGGCACCTTTTTGCCTAATGGCGATTTGTTCATTCGTAAAATTTCATCAGTTCTAGTCTATTGCAAGCTTATGACGTGATTACACGTCGAGTAGCAGTTATTCGCGAGCTGACGTGAGCGCTTAATTAGCCGCATAGAAATCCGGGTGGAACTTCACGTCGTCATGCTGAATGAGCTGTGCGAGGGAGAAGAGAGCCGGCGTCAGTTCCGCCTAACGAAGAACACAACGCGTTCGGTAAACAACGTCGTCTGGGACAGCAACACGCTGGCCAGCATCAACAAAATAAGCCGAAGACTACGATGAAAAAATTGTACACACAAACCTGAGTGGCGTCGGAATCGCAGATGCTGGTCAGCGAAAGCTCGGATAGATTGCTGCCGGTGCGACGAAGTCCTCTTGAGAAGACCTCCTAACGCGGTCTTGGTCTGAAGAGCGGCTTCGACCTGGAAGTGCAGCATTTCCTTCCACATCCGACACACGGCTTAGCCGATATGAATTCACCTTGCCGTCGTATTCGGTATGGCAAGAGCTCGAGGCGAAAGTGTGTCCACAATAACTGGGCTTGCTTGACTGAATGATGAACATATTCTGAAAAAAGCCGATTTATAGGCTGGAGGGAAGAAGCCTTTCGGAAGCTATGGATAAGACGAATAGTTCGAGCGCTACAGTACATACAAGAGGTCAGCGAAAGAAACGAAATCGCAGACATGAGCCATTGAAGAAAGGGGAACCTTCGTAAGGGACGAGATACAGGTGGGTGACCTTTGAAACGCCCTATATGACCAGAAGGGATGAACGCACGTCGTGGCGATGGCGACGTGATAGCAATGGCTGTAGACGATAGGGCGGAGCGCCGTTGCCGTATGCCTGGTGTTGACGACTTCACGGAGGGGGGCATTCAGATGGAGAGGAGGCGGGGAGCGTGAGAGCGTGGATGACGACGAGGAAAAAACGCATCAACAAGCAGCAGACGACGGAAGCACCCGTTCCGAAACCCGAAGCACCCAGATGGCGTTCAAAGCACTCACACAAAGCATGTGAGGGTTGCGAAACCCACAGATCTACTTGGAATACCCTTTAGCAGAAAAATAAATTCGAAATCGCGAAAACGGGGCGCAACCTGCACTGATTGCGAAATAATCTCTGAGTGAAAACAAACTAATACAAAGAAGATTTCGTAAGAAGTTCAGGAGAAGGTGCATACAGTTGATACAGTTTTGAAAGGGATTCTCTTCAGAAAGGACACGAAAAGGTCTTCGGCTCACATTTGTTTGAGGGAAATAAGGATTTCCCGGGGGAAGAAACAATTATCTGTGCTTCATTCAAGGATTTTCTTCGTCGCTTACTTCAAAGGAAGCATTCTCTAGCTTCAGTAATTTCATTTATCAGGGCTGAGCCTAGTTTGACCTGGGAGGGAGAGGGGGACGCGCTACACTGCGTCAGGGCTACGGAAGTGCTCAGTTTTGAACAATGCCATACAGGAGAATAGAGACTACGAGTTAGTAAGCAATTCCCATATTCTCCGTAATTCGTACCTCTCCCCTCCGTGGGCTTAGTCCTAGAGGATTTCCCGGCTTGCCCCGGGGAGGCACCTGCTCCCAGAGCTGTACATAATGATCTACATACTTTTACAATGTGCGTAACGAGGTAGTAGATCTTTGATAATGGTTGCTCTGATGTTCAGCTCATCAGCCTTTCAGAAAAGTTTGTGACGCAGAAGAAGTTCCAGTATGAAAACATCCTCCCACCCGAGTAATTCCCACTTTTTCAGAGATCACTTTGTAACCGAATGGGATGCCGCCTGGCGAAATCCTTCGTTGTCGGCAATTTCAGATTAGTGGGTGGCGAAGAACATGAGGAAAAGACAAACATCACTGTTTCCTGCTTTCGAGTAATTTCTTGAAATCCTCCCATCCGGCCTAATTCCACTTCCCGATCAGCTAATTCTCAGAAGAAACCGTCACCTAGGAAGACAGCGAAGAAACCTCAACGAAGACCGAAAGAACTTTATGTTTGTTCGAAAATGGGGCTACCTGAGATCAGTCTGGGCGGTCCTCTTCAGCCCCGCCCTGGCTAATCACACATAAAGGTTTTTTTCCATTTGTAGGGTTCCCAAAAAGCAAAACAATAAGAGATAAGCTTATGGCTCGCATGCATCATTTCGCATTCAGACATTCCTTCGAATCGGCTCGTACGAAAGCGGTGATTCAAAACAGAGCCATCGCCTAGGAATTCTTCAGATGACGTCGCTCACGTAGGCGCCAACATCGCCGAATGAAAAACGTCATTAAAATTCAACGCTTTCAGAACACGGGCCGAGCTATTTCAGCTCAGCGTTCCATCAAAAAAGGACGGAATAAGAAAAAATATTTTTGACACCTCCTTCGAAAGGAACGATTCATTACCAGGGAAGACTGGGGAATACCTCGGAACAAACGAGGTCATCAATCTCCACGTACACGTGCGTAATTTTAGAAGAACAGAAAGTGAGAAACGAGTTTTTGAAAGAGTTAGAAATCGTCTATCAACCGACAGTTCACCGGTCTAGGGAGAATGGATGTGAATGTTGCGCTATCAGCCTGAACAGCGCTCATGACTCCGCCTTCTCTACAACGCCATCGAAAAGTGCACTTTTCGCCGGTGAACTGAAAAGCTCCACGTCAGCCTCACAGAGAAAGTCATATATCGAAGTGAAAATGAAATGAAATGAAATCATTCAAAAAATGAAAGCAAACCGACAGGCAGATTGAATTCCCCGACCGACTAATAAAAGGAATTGTTCCAGTTTACTTAACCAAATCTAAACTGCTCAGCATCTTCTTATGAAGGTTTGTCGCCTAGAAAAAGTAGGCAATCATGTGCTAATCACATGCTGCTTCATGTGCTAATCACATGCTGCCTGCTGAGGAGAAGAGATGCAACTCGTTTGTCAATAATTCCAAAGCAGTCAACAACATCTCTGCAAACGATTACTTAGCGCTGATAGCTGATAACAGCTATCCCGTAGAGGCTTAGCCGTTGTCAGCAAGCGGTAAAGAAGCTTTCGAAAATTTTGAAAGCATTGCTAAGGATGAACTTTATGAACATATCACATGATAAAGACCAACAGATTGGAACAGTTTTAGTGATAGATAGCGAATAAAAGCTCGACAAGAATTCGCAGAACAAACAGCCGATGATGCAGCGATAACCTCAAAGGAGCCATCAGACAGACACTAAAAAACTAGAGCAAACAGTTGCTGCTAAGGAGAGCGGTCTCGCCAAGGGGGTTTTTCAATAGAGATGAGTGTAACGGGGCACACCCGGCACATGTGCACCTCACGTACTCAAAACATCCCCCGAACTGAAGCGGAACACTGGCCGTGGGCCCGCCTCTTATATCGACACCAACCCGCCACGGCCCCGCCCATCTCCAGCGAATCACTGGTGTTTGATGTGTGTTTCGGTGCTCCCCAAAGGTTCAGAAAACTTGTTTCTACCTCAAATTAGCTGAACATGAGCGAAGCTCGAGGTAATACGACCAGAAAGTGGTTTAGAAGAATTTACTTTTCAAATAACTGAGGCACATTCGAAGCTTACTTTCTAGGTCTACCTTCACTTTACATATCGAATGAATTAGTAAACGACCTTGCTTTCCCTTCAATTTACAGTGGAGAATACCATGCTTTGGGCATAGGCAAAATCCAATCAGGTTCTACAAAACTCAAATGAACGTTCTATGAGTAAGTGGAATTGCAGGCAATTCAGAATCTAAGGAATGCCCCATACATGTAGAGAGGAGACTAAAGAAAGTGAGATAAAAGTTCTTGAATCATAATCGCTAGCAAGAGATAAAGGCATCGGGCAGTCTTCACAATCATAGCGTTGGGAAGAGAAAGGTGAGCAATTCAATATTCCCACAGACCGATGGCAACTGCTTTTTTAGAATTAAACGAGTAATACGGATCTCCCTACAGTATTTTTCATTCGCTAATAATAATCGTGTGGAGTTCTAAACGCCTATAAGGTCCTTCCCCAAAAGAAAAACCTTACGTCAGAAACGAATCTTTCCAAGCCGCATATTCTTTCCTTTCCCCAATAATTCACTCTATTCGTTAGTGGGACACTAAACTTGTGAACCTATCCCAAAGTACCTCTTAAATCAGGAGGCCCCAAACGAAGCCCAAAAAGACAAGCAGCCGTTAAACGTGCTCTTCCGAATCAACAGACAAAATCCCAAACCATCAGAACCTGAACAGTCCATAAAAGATGAAGGAGTTCCTGCGTCACAGTCATATTGTTCCAGTCACGAATCACCTTGTTGTCGAACCAAAACCCATCACTCCATGGAAAGAACCAAACGCGTTGTGATGATCCCTAAATTCACAACTATAAATAAGCCTGCACCCTTTCCCATGTTCTGAGACGTGCATTTCCGAATTTCACCGTGAAATAAAACCGGCCTCGGTCTGGTTGCCTCTCCAAAATCGAGACTTTGTGACGTAATTGACCCGTGCACTTGCAAACTCCACATCATTTTTAGATTATATCTTTGGAACAGATGTCCTTTCAGTCAGAAATCATAAGGAATTCCACCAAATAGAGCAGTCGAGAGGTTAACTGATGACTCAGCACAGTGATCGGGAATCAACTAAGAACCAAACTCAGGCTTCAAAAATGTGACCCTGATGATCATGGGAAAATTTGTTCTGAATCATATCATCTATGATTACGGTACTTTTTATAGGTGGGAGTCCTAAGACAGAAGTTCTTGCTTGTCCAGGTTTTACCTGCAATCGAACTTCAGAGAGAGTACGACTTGAATCGAGGGTCCATAAACCACCTAAGCATTTTGTCGACATCCCAGTTTCTTTCCCATCCTCAGATGTCTTCCCTTTACTTCGAGTCCAGTTTAGATAGTTCACCTAAGGATGCAATAAATAAGCAAATAAATGAATAAAGCCAATTTTATTACTTAATCACCATCGCTTCCTACGGCTCCTTTGACTTCAGTCGCTTTCATCGTGAAAAACGATGCGATCTCCTTTTCGCTATGAGCTAATAATGGAGAAATGAATGGCTTATCGGAACAGGGCTGACTAATATGAGAACAGAGGTCGTGACGCTGCGTTCCCTTCATGAGGGACTAAACTCGCTGTCAGGCGTTTGCCTAAGACCGGAAAGAACCGAGTGCATCGAAAGTACACCAGCACCCTGGGAATGCCAGACATGATCGATTCAGCCTGCTACATAGTAACTAAGGCATGGGATTCCCCCAGGGTCTAAAGAGTTGCTAAAAAAGGAATTAAGGACAAAACGAAACGTCATGGGATGAGGAATGTGCGATAAGGGAAAGAGGTGCCCATACGTGTACTCGGTGGGATCGCAGTGCGTTTTGGAAAAGGTGAGGGAAAGACTTCAAGAATTTGGCGTATATTTGCAGAGCTCTACGGAACTTTAACTGTTCAGCCTGCTGCACCCAACCGCCCCTTCCCCTTTCCACTGATTCGAGAACTTCCAGAATGAAGGAATATCGGAGATAGGCATACTCGAAACAGGTGTGAAAAAATCGTGCATAAAAATGAACAGCAACTGAGAGAGTGGGG